ATATGAGACTATACACTGGTTAATATTAACGCTAAGAAAAAGGCAGAGACTAAGACCAAGACTAATACGAATACTAAATCTCACACTAGACATTAACACTACCATTAGTACACCTATTGTATAGACTTATATTCAGACTAATACTAACGCTGACATTGGAATTGACATTGACACTGACACCAACACTAACAGTAACACTAATCAACACGCTAGAACGCAGATACTAATACTAACACTAATGCCTAATGCAAATCTGAAGACTACTGCGCGTAAACAACGAAACCATTTCCGATCAAGCATGCTGCGCGCTGTATTGGCTCTAAGGCTCCGAGAACCAAAAATCCAAAAAACCAAAAATCCAAAACCTTTGTCAGGGGGGTCGAAACTTTTGGATTTTTTGGTTTTCCTAGGGTTTTTTTGGTTTCCCAGCAGAAAACCAAAAAAATCCAAGGTTTTTTTGGTTTTTCAGCAGAAATCCAAAAAAACACAGGTGTTTTTTGGTTTTGCACCAGAGACACAGCAGAAAAACCAAAAAAACCCTTGAGTTTTTTTGGTTTTCCACCGAAAATCCAAAAAAAACCATGGTTTCGCCAAGGCAAAGCCCAAAAACCAAAAAAGACCTAGGAAAACCAAAAAATCCAAAAGTTTCGGGCCCCTCAGAAAGGCTTTGGATTTTTGGATTTTTGGTTTTTTGGTTTCCGCCGAAACACCACAAAACCAAAAATCCAAAAATCCAAAACCTTTGTGTCAGGGGGGTCGAAACTTTTGGATTTTTTGGTTTTCCTAGGGTTTTTTTGGTTTTCCAGCAGAAAACCAAAAAAATCCAAGGTTTTTTTTGGTTTTTCAGCAGAAATCCAAAAAAACACAGGTGTTTTTTGGTTTTGCACCAGAGACACAGCAGAAAAACCAAAAAACCCTTGAGTTTTTTGGTTTTCCACCGAAAATCCAAAAAAAAACATGGTTTCGCCAAGGCAAAGCCCAAAAAACCAAAAAAGACCTAGGAAAACCAAAAAATCCAAAAGTTTCGGGCCCCTCAGAAAGGCTTTGGATTTTTGGATTTTTGGTTTTTTGGTTTCCGCCGTCGTATCGTGTGGTTTCTTTTAATGTTTCTTGCTTATGAATACAGGCATATAATTTGAAAGCGGACATGAGTAAGCACGAGGTTGTAAAGAGACATGACTTCACATCAGCCATGATAGAGAAGGTATCATCACCGAAAATTACGCAAAACACGAATCGTATGCCAAACGCGAATCCCTGCCAAGAGAAGGTTTTGACGGTATTTACAATGGAAAAGAGGCCGAGGTAGGTCATGGGGGGGGGTGTGTCCATATATATATATATATATGTATGCCTATGCCTGTGCCTATGTCTATGTCCTTGTCTATGTCTGTGTATATTGTTATGTATATGTATGTATATATACATACATATATATATATATATATATATATGTATATACACGCATACCATACCCACACACACACACACACACACACACACTCACCCACATACGTCTTAGTCCTAAACTGCAACTTTTTCAGCTGTTCAACTGACAAGCAGTTTTGCCATGCCTTCGAGGCCTGACCCTTCTGTCTCCAAAGGAGGCACAGAAGGATTCGAAGGTCGGGTCGTGTTTGTGCTGATTAAGCTTAGCGATTTCAGTACGGATTGTTGAGGGTTGAGGCTCAGGGTTTGGGGTTTAGGGTGCATTTTTGTATACTTCTGGGTAATCTTCCTGTCGTACGGATATGGGTAGAAGGTGGCTCTGGCTTCACTCAAGAGGGGAAAGGAGGGACCCTTAATGGGGACCCCTACCCTCTAATGGGCTATCATGGGTATATAGTAGCTATATTAAGGGTATATACCTAGGGGTCCTTATTAAGGGTCCCTCCTTTTACCCTTGGATTCACCTCAATCGGTCATCGATTGCCTTTTGGGCGGAGCTATTTATTTGCGCATACTCAGCGTCACCTACAGTAACGGCAAAACTGATTTCAGCAGCGGCTCTTGTCAGGCTGCCTTTTGATTTTCTCGTAGCAGCCAGTTTGGGCATTCGCAACATTTCGAACCTCACATGTTTCCGGTGTGATTGGATCTTCAAAAACCAGGATTACCGAGCAACAGCAGGAGCGTTTCCAATTTTGACAAGGGGAAATCACTCTGTCAGCTGTCAGCTGGAAATGCAAGTTGTTGCAAGGGACTGCCTATAATCTTAGCCAACTAGGGTGGTTGTGGTAATACAGAAGCCTAAACAGTACTGGACCCTAAACCCTAAAAGCCGTACCCTAAACTGTAGTAACCAATATTACTCTGAGGGCTCCTGTTTCTGAGTATACCTCTAATATACCCCTACATGACTGGAAGCCCTTGTCAGAGGTTTAGGGTTCAGGGTTTAGGTTAGGGGTTCAGGGTTTAGAGGTTTAGGGTTTAGGGTGTGTCAGACGAGGGCGCGCGCTAGGGTGTGAAACATCCCGGGCCGCGCGCTCGCGTTGCTAGTAAACCCACCCCGGCCACCCAAACTATACTCTATTAGGGCTTAGGGTTTCTTAGCTCATTTTTCTTGCATTATTATTCTGGGGTTATTTAAGATTTACTTACCTTTCTGGCTCCTGGTGGTCCTAAGCCTTTCGAAAATGGTCAATTCAAGTAGGTTCGGGTTTGGCGTGGGCTGCGGCTGGGAGTAGCCTCGGTCACTCGGCCCAATTAAACATGGCATTTTGATAAGCAGGGCATGACAAGCCAAATTCAACCCCCAATCTTCCGATTCAAAACTCCGAACCCTTAAAGTTTAAATCCTAAAGCCCTAAACCCTGAATCCTAAAACCCTAAAATCCCAAAGCCTAAACCCCCAATTCCTAAAATCCTAGATTTTAAAATCCTAAATCCAAAACCCTGAAATCCTAATCAGGCCCCGCCCCAACTAATGTATTTCCGGGGGGCTTGTACGTTTATTCAATACATTCCCACGGCCTCTAGAATGTATTTCCGGGGAGGGTCAAAAAAGCCCAAGATGCAAAGGGTCACGGTGGACAAGTCATGGAAACGTAGTCAGGAGAAGCATAGGAGAAGCAATGTAAACGGAATCTAACATGCTCAAACCCATGTGTTTCAGAATTGCTTCCGATGCGCTTTGTCAACAGGCTGTCAGTAATTGCGCCGTTGCTGGCTGTACACGGCATGTGATCGGCATGTGTGTGGCTTTGTCATGGCAGCGTTGAGTCTTGTGCGAATGCCGTGGGATACGGTCTGACAGGCAGCTCGAAGTTAACATGTGGACAGAGGTGACAGTGATTCAGAAGCTCTGGTTTTGATCGATGCAGCCGTGGCAATATGTGCCAAAGACAAAGTTTGCTGGTATTCACTGTGCAGGTTTTCTATAGGTCCTGTCAAACTGTTTGTCGCAGGTTTACAACATAGGAATTGACCAGGGGCTTTGGTGGGGGCGCCATGGCTCCGAAGCGGCTCCAGAAAACATTACCTGATGGGGCGAACCATCCACTCCTCCCTGTGCCGGAACATTGTGCACCCTGTCTGCATGTGCCAGCAAACAGGAACAAATGCGGAGACCTAATTTTCGTTTTGCCTTGAGGCTGTTGCTCTCTGTGGCGAGGGCACGACTCAGATACTCTGGGACTCGACTCTCGAGATCTTTCGCTGCAGGCCTGAACGCAGTAGTTACATTTTTTCTCGAAGCCTGGGAAACAGATTTTGTCTGCGGTTTCGTTTCACGGCAGGTGTTCGGCTCACAAGCACCACGAGTACTGGACGCCAGATGCTAGGTTCACCAAATCTGATGACCTTTGCATTTGCTGTAAGAGTCGACGCCAGGCCAGGTGGGATCCATCCTTGGCTGCCTCGGACAAGACCTCCTTCGAGAGATGACGTGAAGACGGCGAACAATACACTGAAGGAGCTGGAGGTCGGGGGCTCTCCTTTTTTTCAGTTGTGTTCCGGGCCTTAGCCTGCTGAACCTTGTTGACATGCTCACCAGGCTGCCTCACCCGGCGATGTTGTTCCCATTGCCGGCCCTGGTCCCGACCCTGCTGTGGCAGCTCCCGAACCGATGCATGAGCAGGCAGGGGGATTGGATAAAGGGACAGACACAGCCATGACATGCTATGCAGGCTGCCTCACCCGACGATGCTGTTCCCGTTGCTGGCCCGAGTTCCGAGCCTGCTGTTGATGCACCCGGACCGATGCATGAGCAGGCAGGGGTGTTAGATCAAGGGATAGACACAGCCATGACATGACTTTGCAGGCTGGCGTACATGAGGATGCAGTTCCTATTGCCGACTCTGTTGTTCATGCACCCGGACAGATGCTTGGGCAGGCCGGGATGGCATGAAGGAGCAGCGCCAGCCATGACATGCTTAGGGGCATGTTTCGCAGGCTGCCTCACCCGGCGATGCAGTTCCCATTGCCGACCCTAGTGCCGCTGGTGCCGACCCTGCTGTGGATGCACGAGCAGGCAGTGATTGGGATAAAGGGATAGACACTGCCATGACATGCTTTGCAGGCTGCCTCACCCGACGATGCTCCTCCTGCTTCCGACTCCGCTGATGAAACTCCCGGACAAATGCCTGGACAGGCAAGGATCCGTTTGGATGAAGGAGCCGTGAAAGCCATGACATTCTGTCCAGGCAGCTGTCACTGGACCGGGCCATGCTGCATCCAGTGCAAGGGAGACCCGAGTGGAGACCCAGGACTGCTCGACTAAAGGTTCGATTTCGAGTGGGATGCTCAAGCAAGAGGAAGCGGCCGGTGTGTTTGCACATGTCGGAGATGCAAGAATTTTAGAGAACACTGATGCGTGGCACAACTTCCACAGGCATTTGGGCCTCAGGCGCAGTAGTCCACACCGAGTGCAGTAGTTGTGCATCTTAATGTACAGAACCGTGTAATGCAAACCATGGTTCCGAGTAGGTGTTGCTTTTCTCGGGACCACGCTCCTTCTTCAACAGCTCGGCAGAGTTGCTGGATTGTTGCTGGTTGAAATCATGGCTGGCAGCAGTGCTCGGGACACGAAGTCGGATGGCTCCGACACCGGGGCGTAGTTGGTCTCTCTTGTCGATGCAGGTTGCGCTTTTGCGATCGTGCTGCAGCCTGCCAGGCTGTTGCATTTCCAGGTTCCGTCCTTGGAAGAGACCACACAGCAGTGTGATTCCGAGGACCACTGTTGGGCACATGGGCGGTATCCCAAGCGCTGGTTTGTGACTGGACTCATTGGTGTGCCGCAGGGATCAACGGAGACAGGTGCTTCTGCTGATCAAGCTGATCCCTGCACGTCCGCAGCAGCCTCTTAAACCCTGTGCGTTCGCATTGCGTAGAAAGTTGGATATCGAGCAGAAACGTGAAAATTGAAGGTGGTGGTGCAGCGGTTAATATTTGTTCAAGACACATGGTTTCCAGGGTCTCGGAGGTTTAGCCAAGACAGCTCAAAGAGCCGGCCCGAAGCCCTTGAGCCCTGCAGGTAGCAGGGCGAAGGGCGCGGCGGGAGGCAGGGGCAGCGAACGGAGTTAGAAGAGAGAGTTACACCCACAATCAGGCTTTAACGGCCAACCGTCACATGACGACGCACTCGAAATTGAACTAGTTCAAGAACATTCCGCTTCTGCGCCACTCCACAGCAAACCCTAAACCCTAGAATCGGATATCCTAAACACTAGAATCCTAAATCCGAAATCCTAAGCCCAAGAATCCTAAACCCGAGAATCCTAAATCCTTAAAGCCTATACCCTAGAATCCGCAATCCTAAACCCGAGAATTCGACATCCCAAACCCAGAATCCCAAATCCTAAACCCTAGAATCCTAAATCCTAAACCCTAGGCTCCTACATCCTAAACCCTCGAATACTAAACCCTAAACCCCAGAATCCAAAATCCTGAAAAATTCCGGGAAAGGAAGGGTCAATTTCTGCTATTGAAATTTGTATTATATAAATTTCATTACGAAACGAAGGATGTTGACCAAATCCTGGGGCACCCCCCACAGAAGGCGCTGGAAGCCTAAGTCCGTAACCCTAACCTTCCGAAATCCTAAATCCAAAATCCTAAAATCCTAAATCCTAAACCCGAGAATCCTAAAGCTTAAATCCTACATCCTAAACCCCAGAAGCCCAAATCCTAAACTCTAGAGTCCTAAATCCTAAACTCAAAATCCTACATAAATCCGAAACCCTAGAATCCTAAATCCTGAATCTTAAGCCGGCACGACCCTCGGAAGAAATGGCTTAGGGTTTGGGGTTGTACTTTAGTTGCGCTAAAGGGCTCAGAACACCCGTAGCGGGATTGCTGCAGGCCCCAGGCACCTAATACGGTGTCGACTTTTTGGACTGCAACGGCAGTCCGCAGCCCCGCTTGGCATCGCCATTTGAGGGCTAAACGCGCCCGCGCTCGGCGCCGACTCAGGCAAGGAACCTGGCCTTCTTCAACATCCCTTGGCCATCTTCTGTGCCACCACGGCACAGGGACCAATCATCGTCTACAAGTTCTACGGCGTATGGGAAAGTCGCGACCGCAGCGCAATCCGAAGTCATGGGAAGGAACCTACGAGGATCGTGGTTGGCGCGACCGTGGAGATTCCTACCGTGGATACTGGCAGGGAGCCTACCGTACGCGGGAGAAGGAGAAGGAACGCAATTCTCCCCAAGCCAAGGGCAAGGGGAAGGCATTCCCTACCTACGATGTGGATTGGCACGACGCTGCTGGGATTTCGGTGATGGCGGAGCGGCGCCACCCAGAGCCCTCTACGAAAAGTGCCTTCTCCAAGGTAGTTCAGGACGCGGTCAACCTACTGAGGAAAGCCGAGACAAGGATCTCCAAACTTCACTCGGAGCTGCAAGAGAAGTCTCGCCGATGGGAGGCATACCAGGTCGAACTCAAGCAGTCGTTTGTGAAAGAGTACCAGAAACACTTGGGGGCCCTGGACAAGCTAGAGCAGGACATTGCCGATGCGTCTGCCCAGGAGATCAGCGCCAAGGAGGTGCTGGCACGTGCAATGGAGGGCGTGAAGCCCCCCACTACGCAAACCCAGGCGACACAGGCTTGGGACTCTATGATGCGCAGCCTTCAAGGACCGGCCGACATGGACGTGGATGCGGACACCTTGGGATTGAGGCTGGATGCACTCTTGAGTGGTGCCAGGTTGCCGGACATGGGACATCAGGAGAAGCCTCTGGCAGAGCCAGGGCCCGCCGAGCCAGTGGGGGCGGCCTTCGGTCCTGTCCGGAGTTCCTATGTGGGCTCCTCGCCGAGTGCTGCAAGAGCCGATCCCTACCTGGCTACAAGTCCGGCTGCCACTCTTCGGGCCAAGTCTCCACCACGGGAGACCCCGAAAGCTGCGCCTGGTCCAAGGATCGCAAGCCCGGTGTTGCCTATGGATGCAGCGGCTGTGGAGGCCGTGAGGGCATTGAAGGAAAGTGTGGGTCTTCCGACCCGACCGCAAGCCACCGGCCCGGCATCTCCGAGAGCTTCCAATCTGGCCGACAAGCTTCAGCAGGCGAGGCGCAGTGCGATGGCCCCATTTGGCTTGGCCCCTGCGATGGAGGGTGCAGGTCGTGCTGGCACTGGCCCGCCACGTGCAGGACCCACTGCCACCGAGGCCGGCCGGCCCCCAGAACCTCACGGACGGACTCCTACGATCGACCTGGATCTCGACGAGGAGCTGGACTCTGCATCCCCCGGCTTGGGCCGGATGGAGTGACTCTGAACTGCTGGATCCTTGCCTGGTGTGTCAAGCTTGGCTGCCCTGATCTGCAAGAGCTGGGGAGGCCTGATCCTCTGTGGGACTGCATGGGTGTTGCTTGTCCCACGTGGATCTCGTTCCACTTCGGCTCCTGTCGATCGGGCTGCAGCGCTGGCGATACACCTGGTGCTTTGTGTGTGAACAGGGCTGTACTGTACTATAGTGTGAGAGCCGCCGCTGTACAGGTTGGTTTTCCCTTCTGTACAGTTCCATGCACCCTCGAGCCGGCTTTTCACTCTCCCTCTTCTGAGTGCCTCAGGGCAAGCTGTGCACTCGCGGACATGCTCTTGGTCTCGAGTTGTCTTCTTTACGACTCGGGCCAAGGGTGGTGTCATGTCTCCTCGGCTTGGCTACCACTGGATTGGGTTTTTCCATTTGGTAGCGAGCCCCTGCCTCTTCGATCCATCTCCTATTGGAGAACTGCTGCGGGAGCTCCTTCTTCGGGTTGCTGGAGAGATTCTGTCCTATCTCTCGCATGTGCTTCTGCACCTTCCTTGCAATGTGTGGTATGTCTGAGGTTCGCTTGTGGTCTGTTTCCAGAGGAAGCACAACATGCCTTCCAGGACCTGCGAGTCTTTGTGCCAAGCCGATCCTTTGCCATGCAGAAACCCGATCCCCCTCCTTGTGGTTTAGGCCCTTCACCCGCTTCCCTTGTTGGGGTTCTAGGTCTTCCCTGTGTTCTGCCCAGCGCCTACGCACATGTCTCTTCTGAGGCTGTTCCTGCTTGCCTGCATGGTTCAGTTTCTGGAGAACTCAGGCCACTCTTTATGCAGCGATCATGGTGCCACCTCTTGGGCTCCTGGATCATGGCATGCTTGGTCCCTTTTGCCCGTCACCTCATGCTTGCGACCTTTTATCTGCTCCTGCTGCTGCTCCTGCGTCCGTTCCGCAGGACCCGCAGGTACCGAAGGATTGCAAGGCCTTTTCCTGACATACGGCATTCACTGCGTGTGCTGGTTCCCTTGGCTGAGGTTGGCAGCGTCTGTGTGCATGACACGGTCGGGAGAACATCCAAGCCTCCACGGCACCGTGCATTGGGCAGGCGAAGGACCTTGACTCGATCGCTCCGTGCCATTCTTGCCCTGTTCGGCCAGCTGAGCCTGTGGCAGCTTCCGATCCAAGTTTGGGCGGCCCCCCCACTGTGGGGCGAAGCGGTGGATATCTTGATCCTTGCTGCCAGACTCTGTCCGGATCCTTTGGAAGCAAGTGCCGATGTCCCTGCTGACATCTCGGTTTTGGATGATCTTGATTTTGCTAGGAGATACAGTTGGGCCCAGCAGATACAGCAGCAAGCTTGGAATACCCCTCTCCTTCAAAATGATGACCTGCCGCCACCAGATGCTGACTCACCCTCTGAGGAGTCGATCCAGGGCCGGACGATTGTCATTAGCCGTGTCTTTGCACCCCACTTTCATACGCGGCTTGCAGATTTCGACATCCCTCTTCCTTGTCCCTGTCAGGCGTTCCTGGATGCCGCTAAGGCCTCGCTCCGCCTACCGGATGGGGGCTTCGACCAGCAGATTGCCCCAACAATCCCTCAGCTTTCGCCAGACCACGGCACCTTGGTGCTTTTTCCAGCTTGGTTGCATACGTCTAGTCTGGATGTGGTGATTTTCGACTTTCAGGCCCTGAATGGGCCTACATACGCGGAGTATGTTGACCGGAATCTCCGGTACAGTGACTGCCTCCGAGAGGCTCACCATCAGGGAGTCGAGGAATGGGAGGTCTACGCTTTCGGTCACGCACGACCTCTTCGAGAAGGGGACACTCTTCTCTCTGTCACTGGCGGTGTGCTGCAGTTTCAACCCAGAGGAGTTCCGGCTCGCTGGGACTGTCCTTTCTCTACGCGCTTGGATAGACCCCAGTGGTGGCACGCTGAGCCCAACATGCCAAGCCAGCCGAGGGAGCGCGCTGTTTTTGTGACACATGGCGACCGCAACCTCGTCTTCTCTGCACAACGGTTCCCAGGTGTTGAAGTTAGGGCGCATTTGGCCGGGCTCTTTGACAGGCGCCCGGACGATGTACTCTTCTGCACAGCTCCTGGCATTGCCTTACAGGATGTCAGTTTTCATGGCGGTGAGTGCAGGGACGTGCTGGCGGTCTTTCCGCTGCGGCCGACTCCGGCAAGGACAGGGATACTTGTTTTCCTGGATGCAAGACTGGCAAATGTGCCTGTCCTTCATGTGTATTTGGAGGGCCCACAGGTTGAGGCCAGCTTTCTGCTGCGCTACGTTCATGCGCGGCCGCCGCCCGCCCATGAGCTTGCATGCAGGCCTCGGCCCAATCGCCATGGGATGCTCACTCTAAGGGAAGGGGATGTAGTCACTTTTGGTTTTGTTCGTTCTAGGGTTTGGGCGGACTTCAGTGAGGACTCTGGGGATGACTCTGCCTCTACTGAAACCTCAAGTGCCAGCTCCCGACATGCTGCCTCTTCCGCACCCAGAGGACCGCCACCGCCTGTTCCTGTGAATAGGCAGCCCTCAGCCTCCGGTCGAACCACTTCTCGATCACGGTCGCCCAGACAGCCTGCACCGGATCTTGTTGGGTCCGTGCAGCTGCCGGACTCTGTTGTGACTCCCCCATCGAATGCTCTTGACGTTGAAGCCGAGCTTCCTCCTTCTCGAAGTCGTGAACCTGCACCTGAGCATGGTGCTGCCTGCCCGACCACCTGCACCTTGCCTGGGGTCCGGGATTTCAGTGCGCGCACTCATCGTATTCCTGATGGTCAAGAGCCTTCTCGCCCATCGCAGCCTGACGGAGATGCTCCGCTACCAGCCAATCGGGACCCCTTTGAGCGGTGGGAACACAGGCCCCCAGGGATCGATCCACCGGTTTTCACTCTGCCTCGACCGGCAGATGGCGTGCCCTGGGGTGGTGGGCAGAATCTCATGCTTACTCGCTTCCTTGTGTTTGCTCCAGAATATCTTCCTGAGATGATTGATCTGGACCTGCCTCCCGGTACCACGATACAGGAGGCGTTGGGCAGCTTGCAGGCACAGAGATCCCCACGATTTGTTACTCAGTTTCCCGAGGTCACCTTTGCACATCCTCAGCCGGCATCTTCCTATGCTATTGCTGTTGCATTGCCGTACTGGACTCAGGATCGCTATGTCATTCTTGACTGTTCTCGTGTCAATGGTACGATCTTTTGCGGTCTATGTGCCCCGGTCACGAACCGGCCTTCGCTCTTGGCCATTGCGAGGCTTCCCAGATTTACCACTCTGGAGGTGTATGTGCATGATCGGGTCTTGCCGCTCACAGACCAGGATGCTATCGAGATAGAGACCGGCTATTGCGTGACCTTTGTGCCAGCGACCCATCCCGCCTTTGCAGTCACGCGCATACAGGATATGCTGCTTGACCCTCTTTCCTGGGACCGGAATGCCCCTCTGCCGGGCCTTGACGGCATGTGGTTCTTGCTGCTTACCGATGATGAGCCCACGCAGTACCTACGCCCACCTTGGAGCAGTGGCTCACAGCGGGCAGGTATTGCACAGGTCTTGGGGTACGACGCTGATAGGTTGGTCATTCAGCCCACTCGTCCCAATCTCCTTGATCACTTCGACTTCGGTATCTGGGGCTCGGCGGTATTTATCGCTACCCAATCCGTTCGCCGCGAGCCTGACTCAGTTTTGTATGTGCTTGACATGCGACCGATTCTGTGTGGCCTCACCTGGGGTGTAGCTAGGCAAGGACGGGTTTTGGTTGAACCCATTCTGCAGCGGTTCAGTAGACTGTGCCCGGCTGGGCTTCACCCCAATCTTCTTGGAGGGCGATCAAGTGCAGGTCTGGAGGAGAATATCCGGCTTGTTGACCCAGGCACTGTCCTTGTGGTTGCCTTTATGCCTTTGCCTGTTGCAGTGCCCCTGGCTCCTGCTCCCTCGGATGATACGGCGCCTGACCATGGCCCTGGCCCAGCTCAGCAACGACCGCCTAATACACAAGCCACAGGACCGCGAATTGCACCTGCTGCTCCTAGAGACCACCGCACTCCCCATCCTGGACAGGTTGGTCCACAGGGGACCACTTTTCCGCCCCTGCCAGCATCTGACTTGGAAGCCGGGGCTCCTTTTAGGCCTCTTGCTCCAGGCCCAGCTGCTTCTCCCTCTGCGACCGGTGGAGATGCCAAGTGGAGGAGAGTTTTACCTCTTTCTGCCCTTCCTCCAGGGCCCCTCTCCCTCACCTCTGGCCTCCTGGTCTTCATGCACGGCCTGGCCCTTTGCGCTTTGGCTGGTGTTCAATGGTGTCTGCAACGGTCGGCCACGCGCTCCTCCGTGAGAACCAGCTTGTGCCTCCTTGCTTTGGGCATTCTTTTTATGTGTCAGCCTGTTTTGGGAGTGCAGGTCCGCGCTACGGGTCTCATGCCGCCGGCGCCACCGGGCCCCTCCCTCTACACTGCAACCTCTGCCGCTGCAAGCTCTGCCGACTCTGCCTCCCACCAATGCTCGTTGGGAATGCCCGGGACGCGCCTTGTTCCTACCCCGTGCCGCAGCAGGAACGCACCTGCGCCTGGTGCCACATGTCAGCGCTACGTCATTGCTGATGACAGTGAGTCTGAGGTTGAGGGTGAAGACATACCTGCGGCTGCTGGGTCTTTCCCTGCTGCTGCCAACGTGGACCAGCAGGATCCTGCTTCTCCCACTGAGATTGAGTGGGAGGTCTTCGGAGAGCTGCCGGTTGCTACTACTCAGTTGCCTCTGAGCTCGCGCACTCTTCTTCGGGCGGCAGCCGCACGCACTGACTGCTGCGCTTTTGCCCTGGCTAGTGCAACGCTGGAGGTCTTGTGTGAAGCTTTCCCGACCACCTGCAAGCTTCCTGAAGAGGCTCAAGGCTCTCCCTCCGAACACCCGGTTCTTGTTTGCGAGCCCGGCTGTGTTCTTACACTAGCCGACAAACTTCCGTCCCCTGCCACAGCACATCATCCCTTCCAGCATGGTGTTTGGTCTACTGGGCTTGCG